GGTTTGCATAGTTAAATTAGTTTTCTGCTTGATAGTGTGAAAAGTTTTAAAGTAGTAGAATGGAAGTGTATATATGTACATGTGTATATGTATATATATTGTATATATGTATAAACATATATATGCATGCATACACACATAAATATAAATATTCTTTGGCCATTCATATCACAAGCCCACTCACTGAAATTTTTATATTTTTCATGTAAATGAATAGTTACAAATTATTTTAATTATAGCATATTCCAGTTTTATCTATGGAAGGAAAAATGATGTGTAGTGATTTGTTGTCTAAATTGCATGGCAGGGATTTTGATCCCATATGAGCTTAAATAAAGTACATGTTCATTGATCACCTTGCCATGGTTGTTCTTACTAATTGATTTTATAAGTAAAAAAGCATCAGATGTTACAATATGCATCTGTCCAAACCACAGGGTGTAAAAACTTGCTAAGATATCGCCCAAGTTGATATTATTAGCTAATAAATATTACTACTATCATGATGACAAAATCATTATCAAATATTTCTTATGACCTGGGCATAATCATCCTTCTTATTGCCTTTATTTAGCATTGTTTTGCAGAATCAGGTTATTTTAAAATATTATGTGAGTTTTAGGTCTTTTTTGAATCCTAAAGCCCTCCTAAGGCTATTATTCATAGACAACTTTTTTTCCCTCTTTGGTGGGAGGAAGAAGGCTAACATCTCCCAGTCTGCCTTCTTGTGGATTTCACTCAGTCCTGAGTTTCTGATTGCATCTTTCAATCTCTGTTTTGCATTTGTTTCTTCTAAGTCCTGGGAATTTCATTGGCCTGGGACCGATTTTTATGGTGATTTCTTATCTGGGGTTTCCCAGAGCACACAAATTACAGTGGCACATTCCTGGGGTTTTGTTATTTCAGGGGAATCTATTTTCTACAGAGCTCATATAAATACAAACTTACTTGTCATCTGTCTGTGCTGCTGGGTAGTTTTTTGCCCCCACTGACTACTCATTTATTATAAAGAAAGTCTTTTGAGGGTCCAGACTTTCTGCAGGTGTTTTAGCTTCAAGTTTCTGTCTTTTCCAGGTCCAAGGTTTTGTCTCCTATTTTCATGTGCACTTTAAATGCTAAGCCCATCAAAATTACCTAGTGTAGAATTTCCTCCCTTGCTCCTCCCAGGGGAACAGTAATGCCAATTTACATGTTTAACATTCTGTTTTCACTTCCTCTTTTGTCTGTAACGGAGGAATTTCCCTTCCTTCTTACATATTTAACTATGTATGCGCTTAAAAATTATGTAATATTTATCCATCACTTCTAAGCATTTAAAGTGGGACCATTTTCAGGATTTTTAGTTTATCACTACTTGGCAGCACCAGTTCCGTCTTCCCCACTGCTCATTTTTCCAGCAGGGATGTTGCTTTATTATGACGTAAATTGTTTTATCATCTAATGGTACTTTGAGTGTAAAGAGATTGAAATACCAGTGCTTAGTTTGCTATCTTGAATCATTAATTACTTATAATGGAAACACCTATGCTTTATTTAACATACTAACAAATTCTAAAAATATCGCTGGCTGAAGTTAGAAACTTTCTAACAGTGCTGGTGACCCTTGACTCTCTCTGCATTTGTGGAGTCCTATGATTCTCTGTCCATCTTTCCTTTGTGGCCAACACCTTTTTCACTCTCCCAGGTCTGTGTCTGCCAATCCCACAATCATATTTAAAACTTATTTTTCTTCTTAGCTTTCTATGTATCTGATGCCACATAAAAGGGGAAAAATTAATTAACTGGAAAATGCTGGTTGGGAACTCTAACTGTAGGTATGCACAGATGCTGAAATTGTTAGAAGGCAGCTACAGAACAGAGCCCATCCTTTGCCTCATCCTTGTCTCAGCTCTAAACTTCTTGTCCAGTGGAGCCTTTTATAACTTTCCCATAGAACTTATTATGCCTAATTTTCCTGGACAAGTCAATTATAGTAGCAAATTTCTTGCCACAAGGGGTGGATGTTTCATGTGAGACACAGGCAAACCTGCTTCTATGATAATCAGGAAATGACAATGCTAAGTTTGAGCGAGATGGTTAGAGAGATAAGAAAGGAGGTTAAAGATGAGACAAGATACTGAGAAAGCTGCCAGTCTGAAAAGGCCCTACAAAATTTACAAAATGAGATTGCAATTAGCTTGATCACTGGAAGGTTTCTAAGGGGAATCTCAGTGGAAGAATGATATGGAAAAAAGACCTTAATCCAGAGATGCAGATCAGGCTCCCTTAGATAAAACCGAAGTAAATTTGCAACTCAGTAAAACAAGGTCCAGAAACCTGGGTGTCTGCCTGGATTCTGGCTTCCCTCTCACACCCTTTGTGCGACCAGTCTTCAAGTCCTGCAGATCTTCAATTTAACATTTCTTGTACTTATTTCCTCTTCTCCATCAGCACCGCCCTGGTTCAGACCTTCAACTTTTTTTTTAACTTAGATATTTTCAGTGATCACCTATCTTCTATTTCTAGTTTTATCCTTTCCAGTCTACATATACCTTGCTCTTAAAATCCAAAATGATCATGTTCTGATCAAGGCTAAAATGTCCCATGAGTCTTAAAATGTTTAGGAGTTATGGGTGGTTCTCACCCCACATCTCCTCTCCAGGTTCTGAACTTAGTTGGGAAATAAAGCCAGACTGAAGACAAAACATAAGCTTTATTAATGAATACTGGAATCGGTCACAGGGGCTTAGATCTGAGCCAAATGGAGATTTTCTCAACTTTTTTTTCTTCTAATAGACTTCAGGACTTATCTGTTAGGAGAGTTGTATTCATCCAACAGACAAAGGACCCTGGCTTTTCTGACAACTAACTGAGATAATTCCACATGGGAAAAAGAGCAAAAAGAGCTCACTTTCTATTTGATGATAAACAAAGAGAGGGAGCAAGAGGTTATGAATTGGTATCTTCAACCTAACTCAAGAATTCGATGAATCTCTCCTCCAGTGTAGGGGAACAAATGATAGGGATGAGGGGAATTGGTAAAAGGACCAGTAGAGTTTTACCTAATACTGTTCTTTCTTGAGTAGAGTTTTACCTAATACTGTTCTTTCTTGGGGAATGGGGTGGATGTCTCCTCCACCCTATGAAAATGTGTAGATTTTTCCCAACTGCCCACCTAGGAATCCATTGAGCAGGCAGGACTTTATGATAAGATCTGTGACCACTTTTGGTCCCAAGGAGAGAACAATTTGCTCTTTCAAACACATACAGACCATTTGCCTAAGCAGAAAGTTGAATAGCATTGCTTGATACATTTTGAGATGAGAAAGGCTATAAAACCCAGGTCTTATTTTTTATGAAACCATATAAAATACATAAATAGCATGTGTTTATTGTGTGAATACTAGAAAACACTGATTATCAAAGTGAGGAAAATAAATATCACCACTATTTCCATTATTCAGATATAATTACACTAACACTATGTTTATTTGTCTCAGACACCTTTAACTGGAGAGTTGGGAGTCGTGTCCCATAGACAAAGTGTGTTCTGCAGACACCTTTTTCTTAACAATATATTCTAAGCATCTTGTCTTGTTACTAAATGTTTTTCTATGGAATTATTTTAATGGTTACTTTTAACACACAGTTTATCTTTTAATCTATCCTTGTCAGTTTTTTGTATTTTCTTTTTATAGTATTATAAATAAGGCTTTGATAAACGTCACATACAAACATCAGCATTTTCCAAAGTAAAACTGAGTAATAAGGTGTAAAGTATTCACCTAACAGGTGACATTTATTCCGCAAATACTTCAGTATCAGCCAGTCCCCAGGTTACAAACACCTGTGATCTTGTGGTTTAGAGTTTCATCCTGTAAAAGGCCCATTTACAGGGACAACATTTACAGGAACTACATGCAATTAGACTGAGAGTGATACTAGGTCCTTGCAGGAAGCATGCTGTGCTTGGTGGGTGGGTGGGAGGGATAGCTATATTAGCATCAGGCTGTGTTACAAAAAGCAATGTGGATTAGAAATAGGAGAGGGGACAATGGCTTCAGTGGTATAGAACAAGTGTTTTGAAGTTTAGTAAATCCCATTCTAGAAAGCCATCAATTGACGGGAAAGTTTCACCTAAGAAAGACAAGCCCTTGAAACAATAGTCATTATCTTAAGTGACATTGAGAAGCAATATATCAAGGTACTATGCTACAGTGTTTAAGAGACAGGCTGTGAAACTGGGCTGTCTGGGTTTAGATCCCTGGTCTGTTACTAATTGAAATTGACCATGCTGATATTGGTCCTCCTACTTGCTGCTATGGTCTGAACGTTTGTGTTCCCCTCACCCTCCCACCCAGTCATATGTTGATACTTAATTTCTGATGCAATAATATTAAAAAGTGGGGCCTTTAGGGGTTGTGATGGTGAAACCTTTATAAAGGGATTAGCACCTTTATAAAAGAGGCTTGAGGGAGTTTGTTCCACCCTTCTGTCAGGTAAGGACACATACCCTCATGCCCTCACCAGACACCAAATCTACTGGTGTCTTGATCTTATACTTCCCAGCTTCCTTAGCTGTGAGTGATAAATTTATGTGATTTATAAATTACTCAGTCTAAAGTACTTTTTATATTATCTAGAATGGACTAAGATATTTGCCTTTACTGGTGGCTCAGTTTCCTCAATGGTGTAAAGAGGATAATGCAATGTCAGAAATTTACTGAAGGAATTAAATAATTTTGTAAGCATAAGGCACTTATTAAGACCCATCTACAAAAGTAAGCTATCATCATTAGTGTCACAGTGTAGAATGTCTCTGGTCTTGAGTAGATCATCTTTCATTAATACTCTTAGCCCTTACAGGACAAAAGACAATGGTTAAACATTGCAAGAATGTTCTACTTCCTTTTTTGCTAATTATACAAAACCAGTTCAGAAAAGCACATGTATGACCTGTTTAGAGTGCCCAGCTGGTGGTTGAGAGAACATTTCTTCTCAGATTGCTGGATCAGGTCCTCATGCTGCTGTGGTTACTGCTGGTCATCTTTGGTGAGTTCGATAATTTGAGTTAAAACTGAGGTGGCCGCAGAATGAGTTCTTCAGGTCCCGAAAGGTCTGAGGTTTTATTGGAGCCCAGGAACTGGTGGGAATGCTCGGGTCCTGCTTATAGTTCAGGCATCAGAGGCAGATGCAAAGGAGTGGGCAGACAGAAATGAAATTACAGTCCATCCTAACGCTTAACCTTCAAGTCTGGTCGCTTAACTATTGTTGATCATGAGTTTCTGTTTTGAAATCTTAGACCTCACTGAGTAAAATATGACGTTCTCATAGTAAAATGTTCATGGTTTTAGCGCTTAATACAGCCCTTCTCCTCCATGAAAGCCAATTATTAAAAGCATTATCTTTAAGATTTGGATTCAGAAGATGTATTGGAACTCTTTGCTAATGTTCCTCTCTTTAACCATGGTCTGTGGGAGAAAGAATTGCTGCTGAAAAATAAGGTTTCTTTCTCTATACTCTGTAGTCACTAAATACATATTTGTTATTGGAATAGAAGACCTTAACATAAAATATGGCCCAAGGAAAGGGATTGATTAAAGTGGGTTCAATTCTCACTACGTAAGTTTCCTGACGAGCCTTTTGTGACTATGTGGTCATGTAGCAGTGTGTCTACCACTTGAAAAGCTTCGGTGAGAGAGAGAATAAAATGAAGGAAAAAAATCACTAAATATTAACTGTGGATATTCTAGGAAAACTCTGGTCAAAGGATGGGTTTTTTTAACTTACCTTGTGATTGTACAATGAACGAGGGTTGGTTTTACATTCAAGAAAGGCTGAATTGTTGTGGTGAGGGTGTAGGGGAATAGAAAAGGAGGGAAAATGTGGAAAAGGAGTTTTGAGCAATTTGTCAGAGTTATATAAGTTATAATTAATATAAGTTAAATTATGAGAGTAAATGCTCTGTGCTAACCTCTGACTTTTGATCCCCTCACAGCTCTGGTCAGTGAACAGCGAGGTAAGTCCCCCCCATCTTTGTTGTTCTTGGTTTCAGGTGTATCAGTTACCTGGCCACACCAGGATGCCATAGAGGTGGCCCTAGAAGGCCTGTGGAGAGGTACAAATGTTACTGTCTCCACGGTCAACATGTTCTGAGGTCATGCAATCTCTGCTCCCAACTCCGCCTCGAGGTTGAGTGACCAGGCCCCGCATGGCCTTCTCAGGCCCCACATGCTTGCGTCTTCGTTAAAAGCCCAGGTGTAGGAAGGCAAGTAATACCTGAAAGAAGGCATGCAGACAGGAGAAAAGGACAATTTAGAGATAATTGTTTTCTTGCCCATAAAACTGTAGCTATAAAACTCAATGTTGTCTGGCTGAATGTCCTCACAGCCCTGAAAACAGTTACTAATAGAGAAAAATCTCAGAATCGGTTTCTCTAGCTCTGAATAGAAGTCACCAAAGACTTTATTGTGAAAGGTCAGAAAGTATAGTTTAAGCTTTGTGGGTCTCTGCCACAACTGCCCAACCCTGTCATTGTAGCAGGAAACCCACTCTGGACCATTTGTAAATGAACGGGTATGACTGTGGTCCAGTGATTCTTTATTTACCAAAACAGGTCATAGACTAGCTCAAAGGCCATTGTTTTCCAACTTTTGCTCTAAATTAATTAGACTTTAGATTGATTTTTTTAATACATGTATTATATTTCTAAAGTTATGTGACTAAAACTAATTTCATTTTATTTATTTATTTTTTTAATTTAAAGCTGTGCTCAGTAAAGGAAATAAATGAGAAAAATATTGTATTCTGTATACAGAATTTTCACACAAGCCAAGAATGAGTCTAAAGAAAGGGAGAATGGTTTCCTTGTATCCAATGCCAATTACCAAGTAGAAAGCGCTCTTTAGGGTGGAAGATGCTGTGCTGTGATAAGCAGATCCCTGCCACCTTGAAGGGTGCAGTCACATCCAGGGGGGACCTACAGGTGTCCTGGTCTAGGGTTTGTTCAGGAGCAAGTCTCATCTCTTGCATTCATTCTGTTTCATATAAGGTCTGGAAACCTTACCCGGTGATACCCGTCATTCCACTTCCCATCTAGACAGAAATTAGACAAAACCTCAGTCAATGCTCAGGTGGTTTCCGACCATGAGTGGAAATCATGTGAGTTCTCAGGCTCAGTGTGATATGGCCAGGCTCCCTCAAGGGAATCACCCACAGCCCTTCAGAGAACAGGGCAATGACCATTTTACCCTCTTTGCTTTCCCTGCTGAAGAGCTTTTCAGAGAGCTGGCATGTTCTTCAGAACACTGTGCTCTCTCTTTCAAAAAAGAACACATGCAAACTTAGTTCACCATGATAATAGTGAAAATAACAAGAGTTATGTAGCTTGAAAGAACAGATTCAAATCATGACAATGCTATATACTTGCTGTTTAGGCTCGGTAGCCACTTGGCCTCTGAATGCGTCTTGTCTCCAATGAAAAGTCTCTAGCCTGTTGAGAATTTCACTCCCCTGCAAGGTGTGAAAATGCCATTCAGCATAGCAGCTGAAAATGTCTTTCTTTCTCTACCCATTCCTCAGGCCAGTCTTCTTTCCCATTTCCTCCTGTTAGCCCCAGTCACATACTGCCCTCACCACCTGGGACCTTCCCCTTGCATGCAAATATCTGAAAAATATTTGCCTTTTACTCTTGCTGCTGCTCTGGAATCATTTTCACTGAAATTCTTGTGAGAAAAAAAATTCTTCAGCTCTATACATTTTGCCACTAGTAAATCTTTGTGCTCCTATTTATTTGATCTACCTACAGGTTTCTCTGCTCACAAGCTAACCTTTTTCCTGCCTCCTGTCATTGGCCCCCAGCGCAGTTTTCTTCATTTTCCTGGGGGTCTGCAAGGCACTATTGGGGCCGCTGTAAGAACAGCCACTCTCAGCCTGTGTTTGTCTCCTTTTCATCAATTCTCATTTTTAGAGCATTTGGAACTTCCTGAGTATAGACAGGGCAGCATTAGTACTTTGCCAATCTGCCCATTCCAAGGCCTCTGACTCATTTCACTCTACTAGTAGTGTACACAGATTAGAACTCTCAAGACTGCTCCGCAGTGGCAACCAATGTGGAGCCAGCGTACCTCTGCTGAGGCCTCCCAACTGCCAGGTAGTGGGCTTCTGAGTGGTCACTGCAATCCTGGGCAAGTGGATACAAACTCTAACACAAACCTTATTCTCATTTTCTGGGGGTTTCCTGGGAGAAGCTGTGGATGAACTTCTGTCTACCACCTAGGACGTCCCTCTCAGAGGTTCTGAGTGCAAGTCAGTGTTAAGTTGGTGAGTTGAGTCGGGGCCTCAGCTAAGCAAAAATTTGCAGAGAGAATAAGCAAGTAAAAAGTTTATTTACAGCCGGGCTTGGTGGCTCAGCCTGTAATCCCGCACCTTTGGGAGGCTGAGGTGAGTGGATTGCCTGAGCCCGTGGGTTCGAGACCCGCCTGGGCAGCAAGACCTCATCTCTACAGTAAATCAAAAAAAATCAGCTTGGCATAGTAGCGCATGCTTGTAATTCCGGCTACTTGGAAGGCTGAGGTTGAAGGATCGCCAGAGCCCAGCAGGTCGAGGCTGCGGTGG